TTGTATTAATCAATATCACAAATTAGTAATTTCACAAAAAATAAATGAATATCATGATAGTAAAATATCTTTTTTTACTAATAATATATTATTTACCATTGTCTTTGCGTGAGTGAATAAATTTATTATTATTATTATTATTATATTCATTACAATCAATATTATAATCAGAAAGTTTATTATAAGTTTTGTGCGACCTTCAATAAATCGACAGGTTAAAACTAACTTGTTTTACATAAGGTGGAAAGCGTGCTATGGGCCATGCAGTTGGAAAATTTTCATTTTTTATGGATGTTTACCTGACTTTTTATAGGCAAATTATGCAGAACGTGAGTAGAAGCACTTCAGGTTAGGTATTAAAACGTTTTGCGTGCGTGTTGAATTCGTGTTTACTTACTTAATTTAGGGGTGTTCCGATACCACCAAAGTATCGATACCTACTCAAATGAGTAGTAATTAATTCGTCATGCGATACTAATCATGTGAGTAGTTCAAAGTCATCGATACTTACTCGTATCGATACTTTTTATGACATGTAAAATATGTACATACTTTAGATTTTGGCGGCGCCTTAATAACAAGAAAAAAGTAATTAAATTTTAACAAGCACGCACTAAACAATTCAATAATTAAATACCCACGGAAATTAATGTAAAGGAAAAATAATTTGGAAAAAAGGCGATCTTTTACTGGGAATTGGGATTAAGGTTAATATTTACGCGTGCGCGTTTTTCTTCCGATACCCAGTAAAATCGAAAGAAGGGCTTCGATACTAAAAGTATCGAGTATTTACTTATATCGAATCAACCTTAACTTAATTAAGCGAACGTTGCTAGTCCAGTGGCAGACAGGCTGCTTCTCAATGGAGAGGTTGGCTGTTCGAATACCTACGGTGCCATGTATGTATCTATGACTTTAACTTCTAAGCTACGTACACTTGTGAAAGGTTGATAATATGTACCTAATGGTGAAGGAAATAAGAAATTAAATATTATTTATGTGTTTACCACAAATGGCACCAACATGAAAAAAAAACAAAACGTGGTCAAAACATTTAACGTACCAAAAGTAAAATATAATTAGATATTGGCAAAACAAAATCGCAAACAAAACCAAAAATTTATCGAAAAATAGTTTCATTTCCTTTGTGTAAGAGCAATGCCACACTGGCGTTGCGTCGTTGCAAGCCAAAGTCCTTGCGATGCGCGGCGCATTCGTTTCAACTCACCGTTTGGCATGTCGTTCAGATTTATATGTCGCAACGCCGACTTAGGGTCGAAACACGACACTGCGAATCGGCGCGATGCGAATTTGCAACGCAGAAAACTGCGACGCGAATTATTGCGATGCAATTTCGTGCGCAAAGCGTTTCACTGCCACGAGTCGGGTGATCAATTGATCATTCCTTCGACGATCGTCAACCGTACTGAACGTATTTTTCAAACTACGTAGCGACAGGGATCCTAGGGAGAGTGTTGCACTGCTGTTATTGATAAACAAATATAGGGAAAAAAACACAAACAAGATTAACATCTCAGGAATGCGCGATGCGGAGGAATTCGCAAATTCTTGCGATGCGTCGTGCGAGCTCGTAGTTTTGTGTTTCGACCCTAAGGGAGATGCCAAGCGGGCGTTGTGTCGTAACTACATTATACTACATATAAATCAGAACGACATGCTACAGCGTGCGTTGAAACAGACGCGTCGACGGAATAGCTCGTGCGGCACTCAGTCCGTTGAAATCAACGCAGTTGCGACGTCGCAACGCACGTGTGGCATCTCCCGAAGCTAATCGTGTGGCACTTATAATCGGACCTAGGACTGGCGTTGCAAATACAATCAAACGTGTGAACGGTCTAAACGGATTGACTTTTTTGAAAATATAAAAATTAAATTAAAGCACAGAACAAGAACACTAAGGGTCGTATTCCAGAACTCTACTCAATGCTCAAGTCAGGATTTGAGCAGACTTGAGTATGATTTCAAGCACTGAAAATACGACCCTAATGGCAAGGACTTGAGTTTGATTTTCAGTGCTCACTGCAACACTCACGTCCTGACTTGAGCATTGAGTAGAATTCTAGAATACGACCCTAAATATGAAGATATCTACTTAGTGTCGTATAGGCAGCAGTGACAATTTCTTCTTTTTATCATATAAATGGCGTTCTATGCCTTACCAGCACTGAGGACCCAAAGTGATGAAATTAGTTTAATTCAAAGCCTTTCTTAGAGGCTCATGTTTAGCATTGGGACGTATAATGGGTTGATGATGAATAAAAAAACAATTTTTTTGCAAAATACAAACAAATAGGCACAGAGACGTGCCTACTTCCCAAACTAGGATCCCCTATAATGTTGGTGACTAGGTCTTACGTCTGTCAAGGATTTTGTCTAAAAATAACAATCAATTAATGAATTTCTCAAATGATTAAAAAAAAAAATTTGCAATTCCTTTTGGTGAATTTCACATGGAAATTACACATGCACTTGGGACTTGTCAGCTTATGTGTCAGGGTAACAGGCGCAGTGGCAGTGCCCTCATATCTATGCGATTTATAGCTCTGAGTGGCACTGCAACTGCTATAAACAGGCGTGTCGTTTAACAACTGGCACATGACTTGTTCGTTCATTAAAAAAAACTACAACATTTTAAGAACAATACTTTTAATAATGCCAGATGCTATTCAATGCACTTTAACAAATACAAAACAAAAGGGCAATCCAAAAAAGCCTGGAGTTGTATTTCCGCATTAACTTTTTAACGACTTAAATTAGCTGACGCCGTTATTGTTGATAAGAAACGTATTTTACAAACGTCTAGGTGTGATTTTTGGAAAACCTTATCTTGAAATGTTATATTTTTTTGTTTTCTTATTTTAAATGCCAGGGATTTGCACTAAAGAATTAAAGATATTATGAACAAAATTGTACACGGGTGTTGTTTTATACAATTATACTTAGTAATACCTACTATCTGTTATAAATAATACCTAGTATCAAGCTGTTGCACATAGGTATTTGGTTGTTGCAAACGAGATCTAAAGATTAAATAAAGGGGTATCGGGCTGTGAACACCCCAAACAATAAGTATGTATTTGTGCTTACTTTAATAAGTACACGGTTATGTCAGACGGTAGAAAATAGAGGTACGTAATTATACTACATGCGAATAAAAAATAGACCAAACAAACTGTCAGCGTATTTTCCAGTCATAGTTTCGACTCCACATGATTCTATCCATGTTATTATTATTATAACTTCCTCTCCAGGTGCGCGTGTATACCTGGTAAGTCCCCTTTCTTATCACAAAAAGCGAGCACAATACTTTGTAAAGACTTCAAGTATTTTTTAGGACTTTGCTTTGTATATACTTTTCGCATAATAAAAGTGTTTACTTTTATCTATTTACAACTTTTTGTAGCAGACTAAAACTTGTTTTGAAATTTTTTTTATGATTAAGTTAGTTATTATAATCTAAAGTTATACACGTGAGAAAAGTTAAAGATATTTTTTCTTCAATAGCTAGATTGTTTATCTTGGGGAATACTTACCTACTTAGAATAATAACGCATAGAAACCTAGTCCGCACACGCTAAGTGAGGCAAATTGAAGCGCGCCAAAAGGGCCTACACGAGCGGGCGGGCCTTAATTCAGTGCTCAAGGTCAACTTGCACCGCGTACAGATCAAGAATTTTAGCTAAAAATGACGAAATATGCGGTAAATGAGTGTAAAAATACGTCAGACAAACATAAAATAGATACTAACATCACATTCCACAAGGAAGTAACGCGTTTCAACTTGTATTTTTATATAATTATTCTAAAACCGAAAATTGACCTACTACTAAAACTAGCCTACATGAATTCGATTTTTGCCTCACTTGTGACAGTTCGTTTGATATGAAACTATCATTCTATGCGTTATTATTCTAAGCCTACCTATTTAAAAGCAGCAATACATTATTATACAATTCATAATTATTGATGTTACCTGAACGACATTAAGGGTACCTTTAAATTAAATAATAGATAGTATTATAATAGGCACATAAGTCAGCAATACCACAAGAAAAACTTAAAGTAAATAACTCAGTTGAAGAACGAGTGAACAGTTTTAAACACCTACATAGGAAGCATAAAAAACGCAGATTCCGGATTCACACCGGATGGAAAAATTAGAATTGCCGCAGCAGTCAAATAAGGCCTTTGTGATAAAAAATACGGTTAATGTTCTAAATTTCAAATAATATTCATTAAAACTTTCATTTTAAAAGTAAAGCATTGTGTTGTTGTAAGACATGGAGGAATAATATAATATATTCTTCTAGATAAAGTTTCTGGAGACTTTTGAAATTTTTTGTAGGAGGAAAATGGATGAAATAAAATGCTCTGAGAGTGACAAATAAGAAAGTCTATATGTAAACTTTGAAAACTTTTTGTTAAAAACATCATTGAATGAAAAATTAAGAAATTACATAGACCAAGTGAAATAAACACAAGTGCGGTGTGATATAAATAAAAATGATTCATAGTCAACAAAAAAATCATTCTGCTTGAAAACAATTTTAAATAGAAGAAAATGAGACCTATAAGGTTCAGTATTTTAATATTCACGTTACAGGAAATCTTGATGAAATCTGTTAAATAAAACAAAACATTATGAAATAGCAAAACAAACCAATTATTAAGCTGAATGTGTGAATAACATTGCTTAACTGTAAACAAATTTAAAAACAAAATTATATATTGCCATATATGAAAAAATTATGAAAATTTTGAGATTACATGGAATGTAGATTTTTTAAACCTTTGTGGCTATTTACCGAACAATTTATATATATTAATAACAATAATATAATATTAACAAAATAATACATATTATTAACGCAATTATAATATATATTATATCCCAACTATCAGAAGTCAAGATACATAATTAGTTGGCTTACACAATATCAAATGGCAACGTCGTCCTTGAGACGTCAAACCAAATTGTCAAAATGGCACGTCAGCAACAGGACGTCGATGAACTTTTCGATGTTAAAAATGCGTTTTACGTTGGAAATTACCAACAAGCCATTAACGAGGCACAAAGTGTTAAGGTAAGTAACGATTTCACAATTTATTTCAAACCTTAACGTAGACATTTTGAGTTTGCACACCAGTTGTCCAGTGACGTGTTTTGTGATAATATTTTTACTATTTCCTTAGTAAATTATTAATATTACGTAGTAATTCCTATTAAAATGAATATGTATAGCATTTTTGGATTTGCTACCAATATTTGCGCGTGGAGAAACGCGCTTTTGGAATTGAATTTCGCATTGTTTGGTTTCGGCATAAACTACCAAAATGTCATCACCACTGCTTTTTTACTATAAGTCGCTTATTTCTCACATTGTACTCCCACAATACTCGTTGAATAGCAGAACCTGCAGAAGCCTCTAAAATCAGAGGAAAACTGGATACTGGCGAACCCCTAAAAAGGCACCGTCACCAATACAAAAAGAAAAAGTCGGTTAATCCATGTAAACGAACTTTAATAAATAAATATTCTATTCACATATTTCAGCCATCATCACCCCTTGTAGCTTTGCAACGTGATGCATACCTGTATCGCTCATACATCGCTCAGGGCAACTACAGGATTGTCCTGCAAGAACTGAAGTCTGCGGACCCTATGCTACAGCCGCTTAAGAGCTTGGTTGACTATTTGTCTCCAGGGGCAAGCAAACCGGTTATTGTTGCTGACATTGATGCTAGGGTATGTTATTCATGTATATTAAACAAATTGTTGCTAATACATGCCCGTTCTATAGTAATGTTATTCTGTTCGGGAGGTGGCGCCACTTGTGCTAACACTGTACTTACGGCTAAATTTTGTAAATTTTGTTAAAAATAAACAATTGAACTTAAAAAGTGTGTTAACGTGTTCATAAATACCACAAATACGGCCAATAATTGTTTGTGACAAAAGTGCTTTTGAAAATACACAATAATGCAGTGACAAACCTTATGATGACAAAGAGGACGAAATAACGCTGGACTCTCACTTCACGGGCATCGCATCGGTATGTGAATACATAACACTCAGTTCCGTCAAGCTCATAATATAAGACCAACACAAATTAATGCTATTTGATACAATTAATTGAGAATACTGTGTTATCAAAAACCGTTAGGTATACCTTCTCATTTAAAAATAGACAGATCTAGCAAACCAAATGGTACTACACACGCCATCTTTGGGTACACTGTGGAACTACATTAAAAACCCCATCACTAAGACATAGTTCTAACACTCGACACCAGGTGGCGTAAGTTTGTTTTAGTTCAGCTACCAGCCACTGGAGGGAGGTAAAATCGGAAGAATTTATCACAAACTGTAACTTCTATTACTAGACACTGGGTGGAGCCACTAGTTTAATAAATACTACATATTACTTAAAAAATGTCACAACGCTGTCAGACATGTCTTGAAACAATAACAAACAAAAAAAAATATTTAATCTGCTGTATCTGCGCAAGAGCGTTACACATAGAGTGCTCTCACGTTCCGGAAAAAATCTTCAACATAATGTCGCCCGGCAGAAAAGCAATCTGGAAATGTCTGATCTGCAGGAACAAAGATGTAAACGAACAAAAAAATAGTCCTCCGAATATAACATTCCGCAATAAAAACACTCTGAATGTCCCGACAAACAATTCATTTGAGTCGCTGACAATGGATGAGGATGATCTCGAATATTCATCAATTGCATCGAGCTCTCCGTTGAACAGAAGTTGCCCTAATATTGGAGGCAAGACGTATGAAAACATCGAAGACATGGAACATCAAATTATTGACTTACAACAAAAACTGGGAAGCGCTGACAACGAAATAGCTGATTTATTGAATGAAAATTACTCTTTAAAAAAAACCATATCTGAAAATGAAATAAAAATTGACCAATTATCTCGAATATGTAAGTCTACTACTAGGAATTCATCGACCAGAAAAAATACGCCCCGACTAAAAAAAAGACTAGACTTTACCTTAACAACCGATACTCCCACCAACTCTGCCGAACACAGCACAACGGATCTCGTTGATGTTCTTCAAAATACTGTTACTAAACTGCAACAAGATTTGACAATAGCGAAACACGAAATTGAAAGACTAAACAAAACCATCAGACAATTACAACAATCAATCAATTTCAATCAAATAAAATCAAAAGGAGACCCTAACATAAACGACCATAAACATCATGAAACACCACCTCTAATCAGGAAAAATAAAATATGTTTCATATGAACCGAGCTATATAACTCCAGAGTGGAGACATTTAACAACATTCTGAGCTTTGACATGCACTGCAATAACTATGGATATTTTTTTGACAGTAATGAAAAACTTACTAGAGAAATGTTCTTTCCGACTACAGGAAAACTGAATAATTATGGAATGAGAAACATTCTGTGTGAATTATGTAAGTTCATAATCTCGTTACAACGTAATGCATCAAAACAAATAGCAACGGAAAAAACTTTTTTTCGTTAAAAATAATGAGAACGTCAATACAGTTACTAATTATAATAATAAAATAAATGTTTTACATCAGAACATATCAGGATTACTAAACAAGAGTGATGAACTAATTATACATCTAGACGAGCTAAGAATTAAAAGTAAACCGATTGATGTTTTATGCATTACAGAACATAACATGAGCCCAGATATAAAAGCATACCTTACACTGCCAAACTTTGTGCTATCAACAAGCTTTTGTAGAGATAAGAGAAGGGGAGGTGCATGCATATTGGTTAAAAAAAGACTCGGGTTTCGTGTTTTGGAGGAAATTAAAAATTTTTCTGTGAAATGTGTAATTGAGTGTTGTGCTATAGAGTTAACGGACTCTAAAGTTGTGATTGCGTGTATATATCGAATACCAAATTCTAATTTAGATATTTTTTATGACAAACTTCAAAAAATTTTATCAAGAATTTGCTACCTTAAGGATAAAAAAGTAATAATATGTGGCGACTTCAACATAGATACGTTGCAAAATAATTTAAAAAGTAGGGATTTTGTTCCCTACTTTGTTGTTTGTGGAAGTTATTGATATCTGAACCAACACGACTATCGAGCGGTACGTGTCTGGATAACTTTGCCAGTAATATACGCGGTGCTTTAACGGAAGTAATTGAAACAGGTCTCTCTGATCATACGGCACAACTTCTTATATGCCCTGTAAAAAAATATTGTACTTTAAAGACATGGCAAATAAAATGCAGAGACTTTAGTAATGATCATTTAATAAAATTTAAGGAGTGTATGCATAGTCTAACTTTTAATGATGTTTATAACTGTGAAGATGTCAATGTCGCATACAACACATTTTTTAACATATTTAAGCTATTTTATGATCTATGTTTTCCTCACAAGATCATAAAAAAATCAAGTAGACTCAGACCCAAATGGCTATCAAAAGGAATTAAAATTTGCTGCAAAAAAAAGAGAGAGCTTTTATGGAAATATAGAAAGGAAAAGAGCCAACAAAATCTAGCTAAGTTAAAATGTTATACTATAAGACTTATGAAGATAATTAAATTAACACAACGTTCGCAAAATAGACATTACATATATCAAGCAGAAAACAAAACTAAAGCAGCATGGAAATTAATAAACCAAAGCAAAGTTAGAATACCTAAATCACCAATAAATCAGATAAAGCATAAAGATAAATACTACACAAATCCCTCAAATATTGCTAACATATTTAACAATTATTTTGTGGACCACATTGTTACGTCTAATAAAGAACAGCATAGTGAACAAACCTATCAACTTATTCCTAAGTTAAATTCTATCTTTATGTATCCAACATCACCGCAGGAGGTGGAAAGAATAATTCTATCGCTAAAAAACACCTCCAGTGTCGGAATTGATGACATTTGTACATTAGTCGTAAAAAATGTAGCAAGTCTAATAGCTCTACCACTGAGTCATATCATTAACTTGAGTATTTACACAGGTATTTATCCAGATAACTTGAAACCGGCTATAGTTGTACCTTTATATAAAAAGGGTGATAAATATGACAAAAGAAATTACCGCCCCGTAGCTTTACTTCCTATATTTTCAAAAGTCTTCGAGAAAATTATTTACCAGAATTTATACGATTTCTTCGAGAAGCAGAATATTTTAACTAAAGAACAGAAAGGGTTTAGAAAAAATATGTCTATTAATGTAGCGATCTATGAACTAGTGTACAAGATTAACACAAATTTAGACAAAAGAATTCCCACCTGTGCTATTTTTATGGATATGACTGGAGCTTTTGATCATGTGGACCACTCTATATTGTTAAAAAAGCTTGATGACTATGGGATCCGAGGTAACGCACTGAAACTAATAAAGTCTTATCTAGCAAATAGATACCAGTATACTGAGCTTCAACAAATATGTGCAAATAGTACTAGAGTCAAAAAATTCCGATCAAAACGTAGAGCCGTGAAATGTGGGGTACCTCAAGGCAGCATACTGGGCCCTCTATTATTCCTAACATATATCAATGACATGCCAAAAAACACTAAATATCCAATAATATTATTTGCCGACGATAGCACAGTAATAATTGAATGCTTGAATAATAATTACAAACAATATGAAAACGAAATAAACATTACTCTTAAAAATCTTGTAACCTGGATGGTTAATAATAACTTAAAGATAAATTTAAATAAAACAAAAATAATGCATTTTAACCAAAGATTAAGTATACCAGACATAAATATCAAATATGACGACATTTGCCTAGAGAAAGTTGACACGACTAAATTCCTTGGAGTATTTTTAGATAAAAATATGTCATTTGAATCTCATTCCAAAAATGTTTGCGCCAAACTCTACCAGTTCTCTTACGCCTTGTTTAAATTATCAAAAACAGTGGACAGACAAACGAGTCTTAAGGCCTATCACGGTTTCGTAGGGTCAACATTACGATACGGAATCATATTTTGGGGCAACTCTAACTATAGACACACAATTTTTAGAGCACAAAAACGATGTGTCCGAGCAATTTGTGGACTAAAGTACACGGAAAGCTGTCGTCCTTTCTTTAAGTCTCTGAGGTTGTTGACTTTTCCTTGTCTGTATATACTTGAAATCTGTAAATTTGTCAAAATGAATTCCAATTTCTTCCCAATTAGACCGACGCTACAAAATCGCTATTTACGTCCTAGACCACATCTATTGAGCACAAGGATATGCAAAACAGCTCTACTTAGAAAGAGTGTTGTTCAGCTTGCTCCGGTCATATATAATAAAGTTCCTGAACGCATAAAATCGCTTGAAATGCATGGGTTCCAGAATGTGTTGAGTAATTTATTAGTGGACAAATGTTACTACGACATCAAAGAGTTCATAAATGACATTATAACTTAATTTTTTATTTTTTATTTTCTATTTTCACCTGACGAAGCCTACGTTGCGGATATACTATGTTTTATTAATTTAGTTGTTTTTGTTGTATAATTTAATTTACTGCAATTATAGTTACTACTTTAGACTTTAATAACTAATCTGACATCCTTGAATATTAACGACATTATAAACATAATTATGTAATACTTTAAATGATTTCCTTTTTCTTTTTTTATCTCCTTAATTTTAGATTGGCAATCAATAACTCGATAATATAATAATTATGTTTATATTCTGGTTTTTGTATACCGAATATATTTTCAAATATTTGTATACCAAATGTTTTGGTCGGACACAGTGAAACTATTTTGATTATGTCACAACTACAATTATTTAACCTGTGTTTTCTACAAATAAATGAATTATTATTATTATTATTATTGTTGCTTGCAACAAAACATATTTAATTAATTTGTAAAATGTTTCAGGTAGCAAAAGGCACCGAGCTATCAAATGAAATATTCATAATTGTAGCTGCAACTATTTACTATCATGAAGAGAATTATGAAGCAGCTTTAAAGTAAGTATCTAAATAAAGTTTGCACATTAATTGTTGACTTGGTTTTTATTTTTTGTATATCAAGTTCTGTGCATTGGGAGCTGCAAAGCTACAACAGGGAGTTTTTTAAGAGTAAATAAATATATAAATAATGCACACACTCAACATAGCCCTGCACTAGGGAAACCCTGTGAAAGACAACCACAAATTACACCCAAATTCACGAGATATATAAAAATAGGCCATACCAATATTTCTCCTGTCCCGGGAATCGAAACTGCGACCTCTGCATGGCAGTCTGGCATCGTGACCGTTAGGCCACAGAGGCAATTGAAGATGAATTATTGTTTGCAATTTTGAACTAAAGTATTCTCCAATGTTTAATTCAGTTATTGCCGCCTTGCATACACTAAAGTAATATTTTTATTTAAGTAATTTGGGAAAAGGTTTCTTTCTGCATACATGTTACAGGGTAAGGTTGTCCTTAAAAAAGGCTAGGTTAAAAAGTACAAACAATAAAAAGGCAAGCATTAATAGTATATTGAGGAGTAAATCTGATAGATTTGGATTCTAATTTAGTTTAGTCTCATTGAATGGATTTGTCGCATTGTATTGAGATCCATAGATTGGAAATGTACTTTGAAGAAAGACTAAGTGGTTGCTTTTCGTATTGGATATTTCAATTATTCATAGAAATGCACAAAAACTACAGTTTGGCATAAATACAGAAGAACAAGTTAAAATGTGACTTATTGGTTTTTTTCTGATGTTCCTCAATTATCCAAGTGGTGGCAGGGTAAGAGTATTAGGATATGGCAGGTAGAGACTGACTTTGCCTACCTCAATAGGAGACATGAATGATAGTATATATGTGTGATAATGTGATTTTATCTTAAACTATTTGTGTACTCAGTGTAAATGTATCTACATAATAAGGATTGTAAAAAACAACACTTTCAGGATTCTCCATGGAACAGAGTCCTTAGAACACCGAGCATTCTCTCTGCAATGTCTGCTAGCAATGAACCGGCCAGACTTGGCCCGCAAACAACTCAAACTCTTACAGGATATTGAAGATGACGGTACACTGACTCAGCTTGCGCAAGCCTGGCTAAACTTAGCCCAGGTATGTACCGTTTGTTTGATGAATGAGTGTATTAGAAGTAAAAAGATCTGCAATAAGCACAGAAAAATTCATAAGATTTGCCGGTTTGTTCCATAGCCCAGTTGGGACACTGGTGAGAATCCAGCCGGATTGAAGCAATTTTTCTTAGTATTCAATCTTAATTATAAAAAAATGGATATTGCATTTCAGGGTGGACCAGGAGTGCAGGATGCCCACTACAGTATTATGGAGCTGTCAGAGCGGCTTGGCGCGCTAGGCGCAGGCCCGGCCGCCGTCGGTGCCGCCGCCGCCGCGTCAAGAGGTATGATCATCTACAGCCCAACTTAACCCACTGCTGGATAAAAGTCTCCATAACCCAAATGCTTTTGAGTTGTATTATTATATATTCATAAAGAAAACGTTGATTAATGAAAAGTGTTGATCAAGGTTTTTTTTAATATTTAATTACCCTAGGAATGAAACTATTTTTCCGGATTTAAATCGCGTATATTTGTTTTTTCAAATAAACCGACGTTTTAATTTATTCTAATTTCTATTAATAATTAATAATAAATTAAACTTAATAAAAAAAAAATTCATTCAATAAAATAATTTGTAAAACTTAATGTAGCGTAAATTGGAATGTTTTCTTTGTAAAATTAAAAATAAGGTATTTAATTAATAACTATTGTAACTATAGTGAAAAAATAGGGTGGTTTGCATCAATATTAGACATAACTGGTTGAAGACTGTACCACCTCAGTCAACCGTGACCATGGGACCTGTAAAGGGCCCGAAACGTCGGTTTGTTTGAAAAAACAAATATACGCGATTTAAATCCGGAAAAATAGTTTCATTCCTATGTATAACAATCGCGAAAACCTAAGAACTCGATATTTAATTACCCTATTCAAAATAAACAAAAGATAAATTTATTAAATCTTCTTTTTAAATCTAAGTATATTATGACATGAGTTATGTGAAACCGAGTCGTCGAGTTGGTATGGAAATCGCGATACGCCGTGCTGGGTTTGTAGCGATCGTGACGAGTGCTTTTAAGGGCCTTCCAGTAGCAGTAAAACGCCTTGTGAAAGAGTTCTTCCAGGGAAGTGCTGCCACCATACCTGTTTCTTCCGTAATGTGAGCATTACTGCATTCCGGTTTTGAAGGGTAAGGGCGCTGGTGAAATTACAGGCACATGGGACTAGTCAACTTATGTCTTAGGGTGACGGGCGCAGTGGCAGCACCCCTAAGATCTTTGCGACTTAAAGCTCTGTGTGGTACTGCAACTGTTACGAACAGGCGACTTGTCCGTCTCAGAAAAAAAAACATACAGGCATTGAATGCATACAGGCAAGAAATAAAATCTCTCCAGACTAGTGGAGTAATTTCACATAAAAAATAATTGACTATCAATTCAATATTTAAATACAATGCGAATAGCGACATCTCTAGCCAAGGTTGGTAGCTGTAAAGGTGACCTGGGTGACGAAATACTTAAGATTCCTCATAGATGGCGCTATGGCTAAAAAGTTGTTGAAGTACCAAATACTAAGACACGACAACAAACAGAAAAATTCGTGAGGTCCGTTGGTTCGTTCCATGACTTAGTTGGTATATTGCCTGACACGGTATGCTGAAGACGTCGATTCGAATCCGGCCGGAATCGAAGGAATTTTTTCTGAGTATTCGATCTTTGTATTAATAATTAAAATCTCGTTCATAGAATATGTCATACGAGTTTCACAAGTAACTTCTCGCGTACTGTGACTATTTACATAGCAAAATATGAAGGAAGGAGTACTCGACTTGTATGAACATGTTTTCGTATGGCATTTTTTCAAGGCCATACGAGTATCGCAGAAATTTGTTTGAGCCGTTTTCGACTGCGATATTTGCCATTAGAGTTCAGTGATTACTACGATATTGTTCTATTTATCCGAAGACGATAAGAGCAATAGATTGTGAATGTTTACATGAAGAAACTTTTTTGTATTCTTTCGATAATCGTATCTTCAAGACGAGAAACTTTCTCTGTGTAAATGGGCCTGTGTTATAATAATAAATGAATAAAATGTCCGACACTCACACTATTAAGAGATCTTAAGGTGGTACAGTCCTGTAGTACAAAATTAACTAAATAATACAGAATAATTAATATCTTTATATCACAGGTAAGCAAATTGCACTTGAAGGTGACAAATTGGTTACTCACTAGTATCCATTCCTAAAGCAGATTTCCCTGAGAATAATATTAAGGAACTCCAGAAACTGCTCTTTGTAAATAGACATTTCTTCATATGTATCATTTACAATATTTATTTTAAAAAAAACGTATTTAAAAACATTGAATATGCCAAATGGATCACACCCATGACCTTTTCATTGCATTAGCAGAAACTATATTGTGATTAACTTACTATAAGCTTTATGATGACAAATATTTAAATGTCTTATTATAGAAGCGTAACCATTGCCTTTTAAATGAATTTGTGACTATGTAAAAACATCTATTTAGACGAGTTAGTTTAATTTTGTTCCTGATTTTAATAACAATGGCAATAACTTTTTAAATTATAACAATGACTATAATGAATTTTAATAAATTAAGAATTAAAAAAAACTTACAGTGGCGCTACTAGTGAGAGATGGTAATTTCTGTAGATTTATCTCTTAGAGGCAATTTACAAACTTGCCCTTGAAAGTTCGTAAATTGCCGAATAGCGTTCTTGCACGATAAAGATATTAATACCAGTGGCTCAAAGCAAAATGCCGTATGCCACTAAAACGTAAATGTAGCTAACGTAAACCAATCTCCAGGTTTCTATGTCTGAAAGGTTGCGTATATAGAACGCCGGCGCCGTTTCAACAACAGTTATTTGTGGACCCCGTTTAATACTAGTAGGGAGTATTTTGTTTGTACCTCTTTATGTCATTGTATTGTTTTGTTACAGCCTTTTCTTTTCCATTCCATTTTCTACTTCTAATAAATTTATATGAACCGAGTCCTTTTTTACTTTCGAAAAATTATACTTAAAAATATTCTGAACACCCTGATTAGCATCAATTCACAAAAAGTTTGTTTCCTCAAAAAGTGTCATTCCTCTTTGAGGAAAAGGATTAATGACCTGAAACTGCATCTAGAACCCAAAATGCTAACCATTGGATCCAGATGACAGTGAATGGATATATTTGTGTTTGTTGTAGGCATGTGGGAGGAGGCGGAGCAGCAGCTGACGGAGGCGCTGGCGCGCGCGCCGCAACATCCCGACTTGCTGCTGGGGTTAGCCGTTACCGCCGCGCACGCAGGGAAGGCACCGGAGGTAACAAACATCACCTAAGTCCGATGTTAACCTTGTCACGTGTCTTAGAGACACACAGTGTGTCGAATGATATTTGTATTTTGATTTCTTTTTACTTTTTTTATATATTTTTTAATAGTGAATGAAAACACAGTTGGCTTTAGAGACATCATGTGGCTCTTGAACGTTATAGTGCCAAAATCGTTAGAGACACCGCCGGTCCCTAGGTCGCATGTCGTGACGCGTCCAAAGTTCTCCTGGAATGGCAGACTATGATCATTGACATTGGCTATACCATCTCAAGTGAATACGACCTTAAATTTGACTAATTAGGATTAAAAACTTGAATGAAATAAAAAGAGAAAAAACTTTCATACATTTCTCACAGATGGCGCTACAGTAAAAAGTAGTTGAAAACCAATAATTGTACAATACTTGAGACTTGTTCGTCCCATCACTTGGTAACGTAAAAAAAAGATCTGTGAACAACCGTAGATATGCACTAAGGCCGAGATTTTTAAATCTTACTTTAAGCTAAGATGGCAAGAATTTAAATTAAACGTTTAGTTTACCTCGTATTTTCTTGCTTAAATTTATGGAATTTCATTTAGAGTTCGTTATGTAAATGCGAAAAACTTACTTACCTCGCCAATTCAGCTTAGTCGAAATAGCGTTCGTTTTATAAATCTCAGGGTCGTATTCCAAAAATCTACTCTTATAGTATTGAAGTGAGCACTGAAAATCATACTCAAGTCCTTGCCATTAGGGTCGTATTTCCAGTGCTTGAAATCATACTCAAGTCTGCTCAAGTCCTGACTTGAGCATTGAGTAGAGTTCTGGAATACGACCCTAAGCCTTAGTGATTTTTATTAATCAGGACAATTGACTTACGTAACATTAGAATAACGACATCCGCTTGAGTTGGATATATAATACGAGCCTAAGAACGTAGTGGAACAGTCAAACCAATCACATTGTTTTAATGCCACGTGAAATGGCGTAGGAAATTTAAAACTCGCCAATCGCGTAGTTCGCAGTGATGCCATTTACCTACACTACATTCGTACTGAAGTAATTTTTTATTTTGAAGTTCTTTAAGAACCTTCCTGCAGCTTGCTAAGTAATAATAATTACACACGCACTCATTACCCCACACTCGGGAAATATAGACAATACATATATAACCACAATTCACCCAAACTCACGAGATAAAAAAATGTAGGCGATACAAATATTTCTCCCGGCCCGGGAATCGAATCCGGGATCTCTGCGTGGCAGACCAGCATATTAACCGTTTGGTCACGGAGTAGTTTAAGTAGCCATAAGGTCCATTATCTACTAAAGCGGCAGAACAGCTGTGGGTTATTAACTACTATAGCATTTCATTATTTACATTTCAATGATTATTAATTAATGATTGAAGAGTTAATACAGTACAAAAGTATAACAGGGTAATTAGTTTTCATGACTGTCAGATTTAATCAAGCACTATTTGGAAACCCATTCGCTGTGTTTCATTTTCCAAAGTCCATTAATGGGTTCCGTAAATGTGGAAGGCTTTGGTATTTCACTGTTAAACATTTAAATTTTCTAAAATCAACCAAAAAATACATGTTAATTCTATGTACAAGTGATGATTCGTATAAACAGCTTTGGCTAATTGCATTTTTTTACACGTCTTCTATATACGGTAATAAATGTTTTACGATGAGCCTTTTCCACTTATCGGCTTAACGCTTACCTTAAAATAGGACTTGTGCCCAGTAATGGGACGTGTTATTAAATAAATAATATATACATTTGCATACTCAATGGACCATTACTAGACCCTGTCCTAAATCATGTCCTAATTAGACTTGTTAACGTGTATACCATCCCCTGTCTGAGGCCAACAACATTGTTCAAACACGAACCCTTTCTTAATTAATAGTTAGAAATACTCTGAACGTAGTACTTCATTTTTATGGTATGTCTTTGATTCAAAACATAAAGAACAGTGAAAGAGTGTTGTGTCACACCGTAGACTCTGTGCCAGTCTCAAATTACTCTTCAAAGCGACAAATACGAATTACATGACTGGTCTTCTTTAAGAGTGTATTTGTACTTATTCTTTTTTCTAATTTATTTGCGTTCCATAATGCATATTACAGATGTTTTTATATTAGTATTGAGATCAAATTATGAACCCTGAATAGGGCACAGAAAATAGTAGAAGAGTGGACCAGTCTCATTTCGAAATGCATATTTAGTTGGTATGTCTTCACCATTTTGATATAAGTCTTGGTGTAGTTTCGTACAAATTTACAAATTTCTAGTATGTGGATACAAGGGAGATCATGATTTTATGTTTGTTAAAATGAGGTTCACAAATATCTGTCTTGGGCTATATTTGTGAGGATTTTATTAATTTATTTTGTAATTATATAGCATAGCGTGTTGTATTGTTATTCTTAAAATTGAAGAAACCCATGTATGTGAATTTTGTGTAAAAATCATATGTCTGTTTGTTTCTGAAATAAATTAAGAACTAAATCGAATTCTTTCAGGTATCCTCACGTTACCTGGCCCAATTATTGGATAGCCACCCGGAGCACCCTTTCACGCGGGAGTATCACGCCAAAGCCAACGAGTTCAAGCGGCTCGCTGCGCAGTACCAGCCTACCGTTTCCAGTTAAAGAATTTAATTCTATGTATTCGAAGATTATAATTATATTGGATTTACTATTGTATGTTGTGTTTTTATTAAGATGTAGTATATGATCTAATATAGGTGTATTAATATAGGTTTGTTATTATTTTGTGCCTGTTAAAATTTTATATGGTGACAGTTTAGATAAAAGGCGAGAACGTTTAAAAAAATTGTTTTTGCTTTCGCTTTTGTACGTAATATTGAATTGTTATTTAGTGAATTTCCAGAAATTTGGTAATCAACTACTGTAGTGATTAGTTTTTTTTATACATTGCAATGTCCTTATAGGCCTTTGCCTTTGCAACGCCTTTTTAAAGGCAAAATTAAAAATGCCAAGCATAAACTGGCATGTGTAAATAGATTGATGCGAGTGGAGGAGGCGAGGGGTTTTTAGGCTAAGCTGCAGGAAATGTAGGTTCATAGTCTCTGCCTACCCCAGTGTACTTCTATCTTCTACTAAGTTTGGTTATAGTAACCTCCCTACCCAACCTTTTGTTTATACGGGAAGGGCACTATTACCTGTGCAAGGAAGCCTGCCCGCTGCCCTGGTACTTTATCAGTAGGTCCTGACTCTAGGACAGCCCGTTAACGCAGACTTCATCCGGTTCTCAAAAGGCTTGTGTCTTGGGTGAGCGCCCCCGGGTGTACGTACAGCACCCTCGGGCGTTGTTTTTTAAGGATAATTTGAAACAATATTGTTCATCAACAATAAGAGCTTCAGCCGACATTTTGTTTGGTCCTTCGAGCCGTATTGAATTAAAATTGCTATAGACGGAAATAAAAATACAATATAAAAAGAAAATTAAAAATTAAAGCTACTTTATTGGCTAATAGAAGCTGTAATCGTTATCATTTTCAAGAGCCTCGTCGTCATCGGAGTCATCTTTGAACGCGCTGGCCAGTCTGTGGAACTCCTTCAGTTTGTCATCGATAACTGTTGAGAGACCAAGTGAAAATGGTTCTGTCTCGCCTTTAATTAGGTATTTATCTGTTGTTGCTGCTGAGGTTTGGTGTATTTTCCCTGTTACTCCTGTAATGTAAGACGTAGTTTTGTAATGCGTTTTCTACAATGTCTGTATGAAAAATCAATTTTGGGAGTGTTTGTTCACACCTTATAGTGCTGTAGAGCTCCTTGTGAAAGAGTTCATCCAGGTACAAGTACTGTCACCTTACCTGTTTCTGTCGCCAAGCATTAATGTGAGCATTACTGCGTTCCGGTTTTGAAGTACCCTTCTGCAAGGGTGCTGGTGAAATTACAGGCACATGGGACTTGTCAACTTATATCAGGGTGACCGGCACAGTGTCAGTGCCCCTCAGATCTTTGTGATTTACAGCTCTCGGTGGCACTGCAACTGTTATGGACAAGCTTGTAGCTTACCACCAGTTACACGAGTGATTCGTCCCGTCACTTGATATTATAAAAAAAACCTAGCTCGTTTGTCCACACACCTAGAAACTTATACGTTTACCTGACAAAAGTAGGTGCTCCTCAACTAAAGTCTTGGACAGATCAAGAGCAACTAGTAAGGGAGATAGATATCCTACAATTTTTTATCGATATGGCTGATAAATGAAGCAGTACCTACAACACAGAAATTACGTGCAAGTAAGATCTCTCACAAGCGCTCTGATTGGACGCCATTACTCATTGTCCTGGCGATACGGGCGCGGTATTGAAATCCAGTTGCTGATCTTAACGTATGATTTTAAAATGTGGTATCTACTGACTAAAGCTAGTTTTTTTGCGACTAGAGCTAATCAAATACCGATTGTATGTACGACATTTCAAATCCATTGTGTCGCCAAGATAAAACATTATGTGAATGCAAAATTTTGCCAACATTTTTTTTGTCATATTTTATACGATCGATAGCGGCATTAGTTGCAGTCGAGTTCGTTGTGATAGTGTTCGTCCAGGGAAGTACTATCTTAGGCCTAGTTCCTACTATGCCGTATCGGTAAAACTGCCGGAAAGGCTAGTGGCTGTACAATTTATATGAAGCTATTCACATCACGTCGGACCCGGCAAGAATGCCGAACTCTGCATTGTTGCCGGAGCGTTTGTCACTGCGGACCGCCGGCAGAACGCCTGGGCCGGAGTAATGTGAACGACGACGAAAGTCGTCCCAATAAATCATCAAAAGAGGATGGCGTCATTCGAAAACAATTGAAGACTTTGACTCGTCACTTCTCAGTTGGCCCATTAAAAATCTTTCCAGTAAAATAGAATATATATAGGGTATACCCAATGTTTTCTTTTTACTTTATTAAACCTTCTAAGATACCACCAAAACACCGCAATTTCGTATCTATCGTGCGCAGTGGTCTGATTTCGACTGTGGTGAGGACTTTAGTTTCCAGTTTTCTTGCAAGATCCGGCTTTATGTGAACACTTTTTTCGGTTGTCGGCAAATTCGCCGACCAAGTGTGAACTAGGTCTTACCTTTTTCGGCCGCCAAGCAGTAATGTGAGCATCACTGCGTTCCAGTTTTGAAAGGTAAGAGGGGTGCTGGTGAAATTACATGCACACGGGACTTGTCAACTTATGTCTCAGGGTGGTCCCCTAAGATTTTTGTGATTTAAAGCTCTGAGTGGCACTGCAACTGGTAAGGACAGGCGTGTCGCTTATCATCAAGTGCATAATTTGTTCATCACATAGTATTATTTAAATAAAAGCCTTACCGTTAGGCGTAATCTCGACAGGTCCAGTATTGATATCCACCGCCGGGATCGTATAAGCTTCAAGGTCTTGTTCTACTGTGCTCTCCATCGCCTGTTTTTCTTGCTTGCGCTGTTTTCGCCACGCTTTCTGTAGGTTGAATCTTTCGGGCCTGTGGAATTTTAATTATGATATAATGTGGTGTTTATTTCTTTCAGAAGCTTAAAGCTGGAGATAGGGAACAACCAGTTTATTTCGGTGATATATTAAATTCTCACTTATAGTGTAGGATATTTCCAAGTTTGAAACCTGGGAATTAGGTACTTCGATTGTCTGGCATATTCACAAATAATAGCTTACACTTCTCCCTTCATATACACTCTGTCTTCTAAATTGCGGATATCGTGTCTGACGTCAGCCAATAGCAACAGCATGAGGTCCATGGATTCATTGGGGCCTTTGTTACCGCGGGGGCCTCGCGGTCCCATGTCGCCTTTGGGCCCTTCCATCCCTGGAGGACCAGCTGGACCCTGAATAAATTACAAATATGAGTTTCGATAATGGTAGAGAAGCCAGACTGTTGCTGGTGGATTGACTACCACAAGTTGGTGGTCTTTCCATCGACTTGGCGAAGACAACGGGAAGCAGCTAGCAATTCGCAGAGTTAGTATCACATTTCGCAGTGTTACGGGGCGCATTCTCATTATATCGTAACGTTTTATTTACTACGTTGGACGACTGTCGCGTCTAGCCAGGTCCCATATCACGACTGTCTGTCGTGACTGTGTCGTGGACGTTTATTTTATAGTTGAACGACTGTCGTGTCTAGCTTTTCCCACAAGATCGTGACAATTTATTGGTTCACGGCAGCCGTCTTGTCGTTTGCGCTACAGAATCGTTACAAGCTGCGATTATCTATCGTCACATTTTTCGTGACGTTTTATTTATCTTTTATCTCTTCCCATTGTCACGATAGTTTGTCGTCGTAACGTCAAAAAGCCGTGTTACGACAGTTAACCGTGGTGTTTTGTGTCAACAACTTCATTTAGCTATACAAGGCACGACACTTTAAACTGCACGACTATCTGAAGTCACGACATAATGGGAACCCGTCCTAAATGGAAAACTATCTCAGTAGTATATGTAGGCCTGTCAAGATCCACCTTCAAAGTGACCAACAGTCGGACTTTGTTAAAATGTGTTGAATATTTGGCTATTACTAGTGGTCGGAATTGAGGGAGTTTATTTGGCTAGATTAAAAAATAACGTGGACATTCGCTTTTACAAATCCCGGGACTTCGCAGAAGCTAATATGCTTATTATACATATAATTACATTTGAGTACATTGGCGAATTAAAATGAATATTTCCTATGAAGTATTTGCTACAAATGAAACTATTTTTCCGGATTTAAATCGTGTATATTCGCTTTTTCAGACAATCCATTTTTTGCTTTTTCACCGTGACCATGGGTCCTGTAAAGGGCCCGAAACGTTGGTTTGTTTGAAAAAACAAATATACACGATTTAAATCCGGAAAAATAGTATCATTTCCTATGTGTAACAATCGCGAAAACCTAAGAACGCTATATTTGCTATGAATAAAAAAATAACATTGTAGTTGTGTTTCTATAGGTAGGTACTTCGTATATACTTTATATCTTGGAATGTTTAGAAAATAAACAGTAAAAAAAATTATCCGTACTGATGACGAACTGGGTATGTCCATACTAAGAAAAAAAACGTTCATACTTTAGGCAAATTAACCCTCAATTCCGATCACTCGTTGTTATTGAAATTCTACTTAGGCAAACGACCCGTTTCCTCTTAAATGAAATTGTATCTAGATTAGTTCATGCAGGGTAAAGCTGCGCTTACTCTAGGTCCTCGTTCGCAGCGGCAAAACCCGCCTTCGAGGGGGGCCATCGAGTCGAGCATTCTTTCTGGAACCTCTAAAATATCAACACTTGGTATGAGACAAAAGTTTACATTCAATTACTCGGGTTCGAATAATACTATCTCTCACACTGCGCCCCAACACAAGGTATTTCAAAATGTGGTGGGAGAGGAACCTATAGATAAACGGCTATATCTCAATTGAGTGGATTTCAAAATCACGAAAATGGCGAGTGGTCCCCTAATTCGTTGGTAGTTCGAATCTCTGTGGTGCCATAAATACGTACATACATTTATCATTCATATAAATTTCCTTTAGGACTGTTGGTCTCACTGCTTGGTTCCACTAGGTTCAGTAGGGTTTTCAAATACTTATGGTTCCATTTGCTTAACACAAGAAGTTTCGTACCCTTGGAAATGTGTGAGGACTTTTGCACGTATTGGGCCAGCGAGCGTGCCGGAATATGGCCCAAACCCTTTAGAGGATAGACATAATATCCCAGTAGCGGGACGTAATAAGGGTTGATGATGACGATGCCTTATTAAAGGTAAAATACAATGATGCAATTACAATTAACTCTTGTTTTGACTTTGTAACATCCCGATACACTCTTGTGGTTCTCTATGATCATACCAATGTCTGTGAAGTAATATAACATTAATACATAATAAAGGGATAATATTATTTGATCCTCGAAGATGTAATAGACCTATTGCAAATGTGCACTTTTTTAAATTAACGGTATTTTTTTATGTTTGATAGGTACATAATATAATTGTTCCTTCTATAATAGTTGATCTACGGATAAATTATAAATAAGCATTCAATGTAACACTATCATTATGTTTAAGCATACTAAATTAATTATTTGGTATTCAGAAATAATATTTGACCCTCTTTTTTCATATAGGTCAAATATTTGTTGCGCCCTCCATTGAGTAGGTCGGGTTAGGTTAGTATTTATGAACAAGTGCTGCAGCAGCGGCCGACGAGTGCCCGAAGGAAATTTGCTTGTATTTCCGCACATGGTTTCAGGTCAAATTATATTATAATTAATATAATATTACTTAGTACATAAATAAGTTAGCAAATCAGAATAAAAAAGTATTTTAGTAATTCGAATTATAAAGAAATAAGTATCTAAATTTTATTTTTAATGCTCATTTGTCTTAGTTTTGAGGCCCAACATGAAACTATCAAAGTTAATTTATACAAATCGAACATTTTTTGCATAGCTCAGAAAAATATTCATTGATAAATCAGTTTATTTTGTGTCTCCGAGCAATAGGATCAATAATTAAAAAGACCGACTATATTTTTTGCCTGCTGCTTTTGCAAATTTGAAATGAGCATTTAACTACATGCCAATAATAAACTGGCAGAAATATTTCTGTGTGGCAGGTAGCTATCTTGAACTTGATTTACCATTTTCTAAAGTCTTATATGCACCAGCATATTACTTATAGTCTGGTATAGGTGTATGGTACGAATATAATAATGAAACTGCTATTATGTTGTTCTTATTAAAGCAATTATCACGAGATTCCCGATACTCTTCTCAGGAAATATTCGCTTTACCGTCACTGAAAACTGGATGCTCCATAATCTTCTTAAGGACAGTTTGCGCATTGTGCAGTTGATCGGACAACAGCTTTACTTTCTGCGACAGCCAACTGACACTATCGCATGACGCGTAGCACCTGGATGTGCGTATTAGGGGCAGAGCCATCTGGAACCAAAAATAATGACTCTCAAATTGAAAGCGCGCACAGCTGCTGGTACCGCTTAGAATGTTCTGTAGGATCATAATGTAGCCAGGAGAGTGTGTGACGATGTGACCTCCTTACACCGTGGTCCCACCATTTTATCGCCTTTTCACCGGTTCCTGGCCACTCGTTTTTAAATTTTGAATCGTTCTTTAATTCCTTTGCCTCACCATTCTGATTTTGTTTCGTTCCATTGTCACTCCTTGCTCGAACACGGCAGCGTACAGTGCTATTAAAAATTTTATTCCTTTACCAGATTTGTAATAGCTACTACTAATCATGTGCTAATTTTCATACCAATCTGTAATTCAGTATAACTCGGCCCTTTAGGGATAGGTAAGTGTCTACGTTATATTCATGCAGAAGCAAATTCGTATGTAATTAAGTCAGGGAATGTTTTGTAGTATCGTACCTGTTTTTATATACCTTTTTGGTTACAGTCTCTTTTTTCTCTTTACCATCAACTTGAAATAAATTTCCGTGGACCTGAAGTTTTTTTATTTTATTGCCGTGAACCTGGTCACGGCTCAATAAGGTTTACAGCCTTTTCAAGTGTAGTAGCCTCCGCAGCCTCTACACACCTTGCTTAGCGAGTTTAAAGTTCAAAATTCAAAAGGGTAAAGAAATAGTGGTAATGAGTCCAGTTTTATAAATATTATTCCCGTTTTATTAATATTTGTGATCTTTAAAATGTTTATGGCACAAGAGTTTTTGGTAACTGGTATACGGTTCAAAAACGTTGTGTTGTTGACGACAAGACATCATGTTCGCTGCCGCGAGCGGGCAAGGAGTGACGGAATGTGTCAAAGGAATTAGAGAACGATTCCAAATTTAAAAACGAGTGGCCAGCAACCGGAGAAAAGGCGATAAAAGGGTGGGATGACGATGTAAGGAGGTCACATCGTCACAAAATAAGTAATAATCGATGAAATTAAAGTACAATGTCATGTATGAAGCTTCATTCGCATCTTGCTTCTTTTAATTTGGTCAAGTAGGTATTACTTATTTAACGGCATCGGGTATATAACCAGAAATAGAGACGAAATAAGAACCATCCATCCCTGGCAATTAATCAGGCTAATGGGCCTTATATCACTTTTAAATATCAACTCTCGTTTGCACTAAAATCACAAATTAGAAAGCTGAAATAGTACAGCGACAACAACTGACCTGTGTGTACATCTCCGGCTCCCTTTTTCACATTTCGATTTCCAGACGAGACAAGCAACTTTTAAAAAAAATTTGATGGCAGTATTACTTACTTTTAAAAATAAAGCAATTCTCTTTCCCTCGGTGTCGCATGCTGTGGGTCACGCTGTATATGTAAGTAGTTAGGCATAGCACCTATTTTAATCAATCTTACCGGTACTGGCATGGGAATGCTCCGCTCGCACCTCTTGCCATCACTGGCCAAGCTAAAGGGCAGTCTGCACTCGCAATGGTATCCCCCAGGATCATTAACGCAGTTTTGCTCACATCCGCCTTTGTTATTTAAACACTCGTTCACATCTGCAATTATTTATAAAGGAAGTTCTAATTACGGACAATGACACGTCTCCCTTTCAACTTCGGATCTAAATTTAATGCTAGGGCGTTCTCGATAAGAAGAGTAAAGAGAAGCAAGTTGACCGTACATAAATAAAATGTATAGCAGTGTCTATTGACGGAATTTTCGATGTCAGTGATAAAATAGGAATACCGTAAATCAAATCCATATTTTCTTATATTATTATCTAATTAAAATATAATCCAAACACAAGTACGCGTGTATGTGTACAACTTTTGAATAAAAGACGTATGTTAAAATGAGCTTAACTTCATATACTTTAAACTTACTTGACCTAAAAGGAAAAAAAAAAAATTACAATTCATAAAAACTATAAAAACTACACGGAAACGCTATTCAATATTAGTGAACAGTTATTCGTAAATGTTTTATGACTATGAGAGAACATACATATATCTTCGTCTTTACAAATATCATTGTAAATTCTGCATATTCGGAAGATAGGGCTATTATACATAACGTTATTGGTACAGCAAGGCAACGAAAACAGTCTTTGGACAAGCATGCCGCCGATCCCAAATAAAATTTCTTAATAAAATGTTTAAATGCGGTAATAATGATATTTACAAACTTGGGACCTTGTTGTACAGTGTACTTTAAAAATACAGTTTGATTATCGCAGACCAGATACAAAGCTTGCCACTTTCTATGTGATTAAAAACGTCATTCCAAAATTTGCTAGGAAAAGACACTGCCTATGTATCTCAATGTATTTAAACTAGGCGTAATTATTACTTTAGTAGATCATGCTTACCCAAAATTCAAGGACGTATAATTGGGTATTGCAATAAATCTGTCAGTTACCCTAGTTTGTGAATCATACAGATGTGTACATCCATTCCATCATAATCGTCAATATGACGTCTACACCACTTCGTACAGGAATAACTCAATAAAACAATGTAGTTTAGTAATAATGCGCGTGCGATACGTCTGTTCAACCCGATATCGTCGTAATGGCGGAAACGGTTGTTTTTTTTTGTGGAGGACGTTTTGAGTTGGTGTCTGACGTGTGAGTAACCCGTTTAAAAATTTATGTAGCGAATCTGATACCGCCCACGTGGGTACGCTTCTGGAGACTTCCACAACTAGGACGTGCTGTAGGAGCGAATCTGAGCGACTACACGCTGAACTGGGGGCTCTTCGTCCTTGACAGCGAGGATGGTTATTTTCATCATTCGTGTAGGGTGTGAATGTGTTGGTATTTAGTTGGCCAGGAACGTGGCGAGATGCGACAGTAACAGGGTCGTCAAGGTTGTTGAGGAATTCCCTCCGGAGGGTCCTACGAAAGCGATGGGGGTGTACCTCGAGGGGGACGTAATTGGAAATAGCCACCATGCGCTCATGGTTGGTGTGGTGAGGAATGTGAATTGACGGAAATAATTACCGCTTAAATGTTTAATAAGCGGTTTATGTCGAACTATTTTTTTCATATATAATATGTATAGGTAGGTATAATGGAATAGAAGAATGAGGTCATCCTCCTTCTCTGAACGTGGTTAAAGTAAAAATCTAACTCACCAACACAATAAGGCTGCGTCTTCAATTGATAATTGTTTACATCGAATTTGAACCCACGGTGACAGGAACACCACACTTTGTCTTCTTGTACTTCACACGCTTGCTCACAGAGTTGTAAACTACATGGACTCACTGTCTTTGGAATACATCTGAAATTAAAACTGGCTGGATTTCGGCGTAAGCACAATGTGCAGTAACATATACAATTGTTTTACAAGAGTGTGGGACAGAATTCCATAATTTGATTCCGCCTTCCCCTTTCCATCATCGGGGGACTAGACGTAGGCTGGATATCCACCCCTAAGTTGTCGAAATTGCAAGGATTCGCACGATGCGTTTTGCTGCGGAATTCCCTGTCAGCAGACTTATTACCGGAACGCTAAGAAAACTTGGGCCTTTTCAAGGCGAGAGTGAATGGGCATCATTTAGGTGTGCATGCTACATCATCGACCTAATGGTGACTTTCCATCAGAAGAGACGGAGGTCAAATGCGCAATTGTTTCTTTATTTAAAAAGAAAACGAGTTCTTAAAAGGCTGGCTGGAGATTGCTGCGGATAGAGTCAGTTGGAAGTCCAAGGGAAGAGACCTTTACCCAGTAACGGGACAAATTGTAGGCTAACAACAAAAAGACCGTAAAAACAAAAAACTGGAAAAGTTTATGTCCTTCCAAAAGAAAACAATAGGTAATTCAAATGAACAAATGACATTAAAATTTTAAAAATCAAAAGACGAGAAACAACATTAACATGTGATTGGTCACTTTAAATTTTCTACCATATTTATCAACTTAGGCTTAATTTACATAAACACAAGTTAATTTAGTAGCAGTAGAGCTCCTTGTGAAAGAGTTCGTCCAGGGAAGTACTGCCATCTTACCTATTTCTGCCGTCAAGCAGTAATGTCAGCATTACTGTGTTCCGGTTTTGCAGGGTAAGGGTGCTGGTGAAATTACAGGCACATGGGACTTGTCAACTTACATCTCAGGGTGACGGGCGTAGTGGCAGTGCCCCTCAGATCTTTGCGATTGAAAGCTCTGGCGCACGACTTGTTCGTCCGGTCACTTGATAGTATAAAAAAAATACATTTTTTGTAACCACAGCATAATGAAATTTATGTCAGTTGCTTAACGTACAAAAAAAACCAACCTGCCAGCAATAAGGGCGTAATTGTCACAACAGTGCACTCGCATGCAAGGCACGTCGATTCCATCTTCTTTGCAAATTTCGCTTCTGCGAATGAGTATGTCTGAAGGACAGGTGATGTTGACGTCCGAGCTGAAAAAAACAATTTTTTTTTTATCCAGTTGCAAGGAAAGTGATCATCGTCACCTTGCAGGGATCATCGTCACCTGTGGACATCTGCAACATCAGGGGCCCTATTTTTAAAGCAAGATATCCATAGTACAACCGTTTTCCCACTATGGATGATCTATAGACTTGGATTGAGCGACAGGAACACTGGCTTTATTTCAGAATTAATTTTCTTACAAACGAAATTAAACACATTTGAAAAAATGTATGTGGTATACTATACGTGTTCTATTTAGTTCAGTTGATATTAAAAAAAATCATTGGTATATGTAAAATACCTATTGAAAACAGTAGTTTTCTTGTAAAATTTCGAGGTAAGTTTTTTCATATCGTGAAAATTTTTAGGAACCGTGTTTTCACACCGTATAGTAATCAGTTTTTTAAATCTCCAGTAATGAACACCAAAAATCCACTAATTCTCTAACCAGTAATTGACACTCACTAATAATGAATGCCCTGATGGAGTATTTTACAAAAGATGAATGAATAACATGGTAGTAAAACGTCATAATATTATTACTATCAATATTACAATTTTCTTGTATAAACTAAATGTAATTTCACTTTATTGTTAACAATTTCACATTTTGAGTTCGTGTCAAACGTATTGTATATTCACATTATAAATAGGAAGAAATTGAAATTAATTGATGATCTGAGAAACCCAAGGGCAGCTACCTTGCCCAACGCATTAGCATAGCAATACAAAGGGGGAACGATGCCAGCATCTTGGGCACCTTGTCGCGGGGACCCAATTTTATTCATATAATTTAAAAATCCTAGTTTTACTTTCTAGTAGTTAAGCTTTTATTGTCCTTTTTACCTTACCTGTATATTATCTTAATTAAATAAATATTAATGTAATAGGAAGAAATATGATTAGTGCGGAATGTTCCCTTGTGAAAACTGAGTTAACATCGCGTGTCTTACTTACTTACGACAAGAATGTCGCAATTAATCGTTACATAACGACATTTTGTAAGTAGAGGGACTATACCCATTTCCCCCTTTGTCTTCGAAGTTTTCATTCAAAAACAATTCGATATGTTACCAAACAAAGCGAACAAACTTTGTGGGTGCATTGTATTTTATTCAGCATAACATCTTATCGTCGTTATCAGAATGTTCCGTGCTGTGTGTAGGCGTTATGATGCCGGTGATTGAGTGGTTGGTACAGTAAACAGTGTCTCGTTACACTTGCATCGATTTCGATGAGAGGGGTCAAAATAAAGCGGTGAAAGAATAGGTGCCTGCTCCTCAACAAACATGCATAACATACCCTAATTAGATAAGCAGTAGTAGCTAGTTTGGAGAATGCGTGCCTCCCACGCAGAGGTCTCGAATTTCATTCCTAGCAATGTTTCTGGCATCATGCATATGTCGTTTGAGTTACTTTAATCAAGAAGGAATAGGAGAAAACCTGAAGAACGTAGGCTCAAAATTCTTCGAAGGCTGAGTTTATCTTAAAGGAGACTTCTGTCCAGTAAGAACAGAAAGAGAGACATAATGTAAAAGAGCTAATTGTTGAAAGATAGATATTTCCATGGCAAGCAGCTCTGATATATATTCAGCATTGAAAGGTACAAATCACAGGATCGGGGGACATAATATCTTATTTTTACGCTCGTAACAAAAATTATTAATTGGCTTGGACTGTATTTGGAAGGAGCTATGTCCATCTGTGGACTAAGTATTAAAGTGTGGAGTAAGTGAGAAACTCAGATGGTGAGGTGTATCACGTTCTAAATTTTTAGATACATTAATGGAACCATTGTACGACCGATAATGTTGATGTCAAACAAAAATGTTCTATTTTTATTGTTTAGTATGTTAATAACTGCCAACTTTTACTTCAAGATGACACAACCCGCATGGATCGTGTTTGGAATTTCATAATTATTGCTCTCTTTGCGTTTGTTAATTTTCAGTGTGTACTTAACCAGTACGGGTTATACCACAATCTCCGCAGTCTTCTGTAGCCGAATCACAGTCAATTTGATATATTTGTTTTATTATAATTATATTACTTTTTCTTTAATTGCATGATTTCGATTTTGGTTTTAATTGGTGATATCAAAATCAGGAAACTAATCATATTGTTTCCTAACATTTTCTTTTACAATAGTATAATGACATATATTCTATTAAAGAATACACAAATAATACATACATTAAAAGTCGAGTTGTTTTTTTTAGTAGCAGTAGAACTCCTTGGGAAAGAGTTCGTCTAAGGTAGTACTGCCACCTTACCTATTCCTGCCGCCAAGCAGTAATATCACCATTACTGTGTTCCGGTTTTGAAGGGTAAGGGTGCTGGTGAAATTACAGGCACATGGGACTTGTCAACTTATGTCTCAGGGTGACGGGCGCAGTGGCAGTGCCCCTCAGGTCTTTGCGATTTAAAGCTCTGAGTGGCACTACAACTGTTATGGACAGGCGAGTAGCTTACCATCAGGCGCACGACTTGTTCGTCCCGTCACTCGATATTTAGAAAAAAAGTTAATGTATGTATTATTTGTAGACGGCTGGTTGCCAGCACTTTAGTATCTCAGTCATTAAACTTTTTATTTTATTATTATTATCAATATATATTTATTATTATTATCATTATTATAAAGAAATAAAACAGACACCAACATAGAGGCAAATGACTAATTAACCCATCAAGTCTTTTATGAAGTATTAATTCATATATTTGAATGTTTAATTCACAGTTAACAAAAGGAGTAGCATGAACAGCATCGGCGTGTACTGCCGGATCAAATTGAGAAGTCGTTGACCTGCAGCTTGCAACATGTATTTGATTATTACTGAGTTTTCCGAGCATTTGAAAGTAAAAAAATACCATCCTTGTTGGTTATATGAGCAGTGAATTTAAAACACACCTATGAAAGTATATTAATGCTTGTCTTGTATGGCGACTAACTTTGGTTTATATGGATTGATAATTAAATTTTATCAATACCAAATTGCAATTAATAAGATCTTATTAAACACAAACACGGTTTTTTACACGAAGAAACACAACTAAGCAACTTTAAAAACTTCACCAAAAAACTACCAGGTACACATAATCCACTCACAAGTCGACAGGGTCTTCTTGGTATGCATCCTCTGCGTAGTAACCCTCTTCCTGCGAAAGTACCAGGGTGGCAGCAAGTATTGTAGCGGTGAGGACCGCGGGCCCGAACGGCGCGCGCATCGCGACTAAACGTCGTGATGCGTTTGTGCACGGCTGCTCAAACTTTATACAGGGACAGCTTGTTGCATGTGGCATCGTTGGAAAATAGATTATGGGCACTGTTGGAAGAATTAGGGGATTCTTTGAAGAATACCGCTGTCTTAATTGACGAAGAAAACTGAAGGGTCCCTTTGAATTTGAGTTTTATATTTATTTTGTAACATCTACCGAGATTATACGATGTACAATAAGCCAAAATGTGTAGTTGTGTTGTATTGTGAAGAAAATGCAACGTAGCTTGACTACAATATAATATGACTACTGCATGTGTACGGTCCAGGTCGTCTTGCACTTGGAAATTGAATTGATAATAATAAGGTCCCAAAAACTTTAGAAAATTGCCTTGCAGGCTTAAAGTAAGCGACCGCATTTAGAACACGTGATCACTAACAAATTTTTAACATCATCTTTTTTCCAGATATTCTTATCATACTTGGTTATTATTTTATTTTTTTACGATACCAAGTGACGAAACGAATTAGTCGTGCGCATGGTGGTAAGCGACACGCCTGTCCATAACAGTCGCAGTGCCACTTTTCAGTGGCATTTAAAGTTTTGACTTTAAATCGTAAAGATCTGAGACATAAATTGAGAAGTCCATATGCCTGTAATTTCACAAGCACCCTTACCCTTCAAAACCGGAACGTAGTAAATGCTCTCATTACTGCTTGATTTGTAAGGTGGCAGTACTTCCCTGGACGAACTCTTTCACTGCTACTAAAAAAACCTTCTCTTTAAAACACAGTGAAAGAAAAATTTTAACAAGAATTTAATGCGTTAATAGCGTACAACTTTTTTAACAAACTCTATACTTTGGCTATCCAAGAGCATATTAAGCTTCACACTTATAACTGTAGACCGCCCTTGTAGTAAGACTTATACTGTTGAATTTATATAATAAGTTTAAATTTGACGTGCTGTTTACTCTGTACAACCTCAGATTTGTATTATATGTAATACAAATCCAACTATTTATATAAATAACTCATAATGTACACACACTTACCTAATAAATATGTTATTATAAAATAATGATATAAATAATTACATTTTATTTTTATTTTTTATTGCACTAAATAACTAAAAGTTATATCTTCCAGCCAATCAAAGGCAGTGATAGCAAAATTAATATGCAGGTAACACCGTACATTAAAGAACGTTATTTAAAAAAAATTAATTAATCCGGAATGATAAAATAAGTAATAATCTTACTAACTAGTAATCTTCTAAAAGATATTGTTTTTGCTGTGCCCTTACCGGGTTCATAATAGAGATGCCACGAATAGTGATTTGGCCGAATACCGAATATTCGGCCACCCTCTCGGCCGATGCACCGAATATTCGGCTGCCGAATGTTCAGCGTAAGATCGGTGCATTTCACGCGCGACCTGTTACGACCTGTCTCATTGCTGCGTGCGGACTTAACGGAGGTGGGGTGTTTTTTTGAAAAATAATAAAACGATAGACTCAATACATGACAGTTTCTGGGTCTGTTTTGAAGAAGTCGCTACAGATAATATGCAAAATGATGAGGATGTGGAGAAAAGTTCTATTGCGCATGAAATTAATTTTTATTTGAAACTGTTCGCATACATCGGACGGCAGATCCTTACAAGTGATGGTCAGCAAATGCAAAACAGGAACTAAGCCTGTCATAATTTACTAAGATTTATCTATCGTCTCCTGGCAGTAGTGTTTGTAGTAGGAGGCTATTTTCAGAAGCAGGAATTGTTTATGAGGAAAAGCGCAATCGTGAAAAAAAAATGCTGAAAAAATTGTTTTCATTCAACACTTGCCACTGATTGATTTTAAGCATTAAAGCAATAATTTGTGAAGAAAATACATGATACATTTTAAATAAGTTGTGCTTTATTTTCATTATTTGATTTTCTGTATTCGACCGAATACTGAATATTAAAGGTAATAGAAGTGGCCGAAGAGGCCGAATATCGAATAGTAGCCGAATATTCGTGGCATCTCTACTTCATAATGATCTTCATTTTAAGTTGCCTACCATCTTGTATAACATTATGGGTATGCGATAAACTATTGAATACATAAATTTAAATTCATCCCTAATAATGATTATAAACATCAGCACTCATCAGCATCAAGCGTACAACTGAGATGCAACCCTAACTTACATATCAGCTGTTTTATAATCCAACAGCGCTCGACCAAAGGCTATTAACATTCACAACGAGGCGCATTGAAGTCTTGATGAGGCAGCTGGTTTAATTATCAGATTTAATCAATGGATTTGTTAGTAGTCTACTCGAGTGAACCTCGTATGTGGAATTAAAGGCAGTATCTGGAACTATTCAACTCCTACTATGGTTAAATAATACGATAAGGCTTGGATTTCATATAAACAAAGGCTTTAAACGACGCTGCTCTAAAGAAAGTTCTAGACTTCACGTATGTTTTCTAACAGTACTTACGCAAAGTTCTTTGATATTCGGCTAATGTCCTTTGCGTGGTCGTTCGTCCAGGCCTGGCGCTCGCCGTCCAACATCCGTCGGTAACAATTACTGTCAAATAAGTAAATAAATTCGACCAAAGAGACAATGTCAGGCGTGATGCTTCATTCGAACGAAAGTAGACCCCTTGAGCCAAATCAACGGTAAAAATCCTGACGGTTCGACTTTGATTCCTTTCCGGAAGGGTGGCTGTCTTTTTCAAGTTTGGTTGAGTTTCACTTAAGCACAAACTTCTCAGCTGGCGGGTGCCACGACTGAAAACGCAGCGAAACTAAAATAAGTAATAAGTACACAAAGTATTTTGCCTTGGAGCCAATGTACGACTTTGTCGACCAGTAACAGTTGAGTCGGTGTCGGTTAAAGAGTTGTATCATCGACTCAGAGATGGGGACTGTGATCACCGCTCTGGGTCATGGTTGATTCAACAGATGTCCATTGCTATATAGCGAGACAATGCTATACTTTTTTTAAGTAAATGGACTTGCTGGAAACCACTACCTAGATCTGGAGCCAAGATAGCGTCTACTATGGAACGAGCTCGCCCAGAAGATGCTTGTTTAGTCGCACCTTTAAGATACTCGACTTTGCATGTGCTCGGAAACACAGTCGAAGGCAGGAAACTTTATTCCTGGACGGTTAAATAAAATGTCGAAAAGTGCTTAGTGCGCTTGAAGGGAATATCGGTGTACGTCTGGATGTCCAATGGTCAAAAGAGGGTGGGCGGAATGAGCTGATGGTGCTAATGGGTACACTCAGCGGAGTATATTTTGTAAAAAATGGAGGAATGTGGTTTAGATTTGAGCTTGTCGGTTTTAAGTTGAAGAAGGTGAATGTGGTTGGATACGGGCGGAACAAAACCGGGCCAGTTGCCGTGCTCAACGGGTGGCTTTAATTCAGCAATAAAAGCATGTAAGCTGATATAATGACACAAGATCGAAGAGCGACATAAAGCGCGAGATACTGTTATTCTCGCAAAGAGATCTCGCACTTCATGTCGCTCTCGCGCAAGTCGCGCCCTATCGTGCTAGCCCTACTGTGCTGGGGCTCGAACAACAGTACTTAGTTATAAAATGCACAATACTACAATATACAATTCTTGAAAATTAAATTCAAAAATCCCATACGAATTCATATTGTAAGTAAAAATTTGAAAGTAGATAAAAATGTACATTTTAAAGAATTTCTCAAGAGTTAAAATGTCATGTTCCCAAAGTTTGGTGATCTTTGGTACCGCCTAGCAGTAGTACAGGAATAGACGCCATGCCTGAACTGTAGTGGAGTATTTCTGATCAGGGACGTTGTGTTTATTGGTAGGGTGACCAACTCTTTGTACTTTTTCCGTTAGTCTGGTTAGATGAGTCATTATAACATGGTGGCGTGATAGTTCCGCAGTCGTCAATGTGTCTAATAGCGCGTGGTTAAATAGTGAACCGTAAGGGTTTATACAACTGTCGATTCTGATTTCCATCGTAAGTCTAGCAGTTTTTATTTACAAATCTAAAAAAAAAATATAAGTAATATTAGCATGGAATGATTATGAAATCCTTTTAATGATTACTAGTGTGGAAGTTGTTATTTTTTTAAATATTAGTCATACAAACCTTTTGATACAGTCTCAGCGGAAATCTGCGCGAGGTTATCCATTGTAATCAAGTAATGAATGCTTAAACCCCATTTCAATGGAGTGAGTTTCTCGTCTCAAAGACACGATTATCGAAAGAATATAAAAAACTTTCCTCGTCTAAGCATTCGCTATTATTGCCCTTACACGTGAGCGATAATCGCCTCGCCTTTGAATATTGAACGGCTCCGTGTTAACAGAACTTGAAAGCAAAAATCGTATTTCCAGTTTTTGTGCCAGCCGTTTCTACCATAAATGCAGTGCGCGAGGGTGTTTTGATTATCACTGATTTTCTAAGACAAGAATTAATGAAACAAGAGCGAAAAAAATAATGAGTTAAGAAATATTATAAAATTAAAAATATATTATAAAAAAAAGTATATTTCTATACAGTGCAATGAACTTTATATTATCAGTAGTTCCAAATTTGAATGATTTTGCGTCATTTTGATATATGCATACTCAATACCGCAGTAATCACTGAACTCGAATGACAATTCTCGCACTCGAAACGGTTCGAACCGATTTGTACGTTAATCGTATGAACTTGAAAAAATGTTATACGAGATCGTGTTTAGACAAGTCGAAAACTCGTAAACAAATATGTCCTTACTACATATTACTCTGTGTAAACAGTCCAGCAGGCGATTAAGTTGTTCGCTAATCTCGTATGACATAATCGTAGGCGAGATTTTAGTTCTTGCCTGAATGTAAACATTATGATACGATAATGTTATGGCGATTATTGCTTACGATAATCGCGAACGATTTTTCGTCACGTAGCGTGCGATAAACTCTCTCCATCTAAATGGGCCTTTATCTACATATTTCGGCCCTACAATGTAACTTGTCGACAAAAC